GCCTTTCCATTTATTTAGATCTTCTGTAATTTCTTTCAAAAATGTTTTTTTGTTTTCAAAGTGTAAGTTTTGCACTTGTTTTTTTTTTTTTTTTTTTTTTTTTTTCCTTTTTGTCTTTTTCCGTGTCCGGCAACGGATCGCAACCCTCAGTGTCGCCCCCGCACCGGACCGGGACCGGCAACGGGACCGCAACCCTTGGCGTTGCCCCCGCGCCTCGCTCAGCCAGTGAGCGGGAACCGGTCTGTATGTGGGATCCGAACCCTCGGCGGGAGCACCGCCACACTTCCCAAGCGGTGCACTATTGCAGTGCACCACCGGGCCGGCCCTTGCACTTATTTTAAAAATGTATTCCTAAGTATTTTATTTTGCTTGATGCTATTGTAAAATAAATTGTAGCCTTAATTTCATTTTTTGCTTGTTTTTTTTTGTGTGTGTATATGTGCATTAATCTTGAATCCTACAATTTGCTGAATTCTTTCATTAGTTCTAATAGCATTTTAGTGGATTCCATAAGATTTTTGTATATGAGATCATGTCATCTGCAAATAAAGATAGTTTACTTCTTCTTTTCCAATATAAATGCATTTTATTCCTTTTTTCTTTTTTTGCTTAACTGCCTTGGCTAGAACCTCCAGTACAATATTGAATAGAAGTTGTGAGTGAAAACAAGTTGAAAACAAGTTGTCTTGTTTCTAATCTCAGGGGGAAAGCATTCAGTCTTTCACCATTAAGTTTGATACTAGTTGTGTGTTTTTTGTAGGTGCCCTTCATCAGGTTGATGAAGTTCACTTCTATTCCTAGTTTGCTGAGTGTTTTTATCATGAAGGGACACTGAAGTTGGTCAAATGCTTTTCCTGTATCTATTGAGATGATCAGGTGATGTGAGTTTTTATTTTCTCTCTATATAGTGTCTTCCATTAATTTATTTTCAGATGTTAAACCAACCTTGCATTCCTGGGATAAATCCCACTTGGTTATGGTATACAGGGGTCCTTCAAAAAGTTCATGGAAATATGTGTATTATCTTTTAATTCTATTTTTCTGTGAAGTTTTTTTTTTTTTTTTTTTTTTTTTTTTTTTTTTTGTGACTGGCAACGGATCGCAACCCTCAGTGTCGCGCCCGTACCGGACCAGTACCGGCAACGGGATCGCAACCCTCGGTGTTGCCCCCGCTCCTCGCTCAGCCAGTGAGCGGCCGGTCTGTATGTAGGATCCGAACCCTCGGCGGGAGCGCTGCCACGCTTCCCAAGCGGCGCACTGTAGCAGTGCGCCACCGGGCCGGCCCCACTGTGAAGTTTTTGAAATAGTCTTATATAATCTTTTTCATGCTCCATTTGATTTGCAAATATTTTGTTGAGAATTTTGCTGTCTATATTCATAAGAGATATTGGTTTGTAGTTTTCTTTTGTTGTGACGTCTTTCTCTGATTTTGGTATCAGGGTAATGCTAGTCTCATAGAATGAGTTAGGAAGTGTTCCCTCCTTTTTTAGTTTTCGGAAGAGCTTGTGAAGGATTGGTATTAATTCTTTTTTTTAAGTGTTTGGTAGAATTCACTAGTAAAACCATTTGGGCCTAGGAAGTTTTCTGATTACTAATTCAATTTCTTTACTTGTTTTGGGGTCTAATCAGATTTTCTATTTTTTTTTTTTTAGTCAGTTTTGGTAGTTTGTGTGTTTCTAGGAACTTGTCCATTCCATCTGTGTCATCTGATTTGTTGGCATACAGTTGTTCATACTATTCCCTTATAATTCCTTTTATTTCTGTAAGGATGGTAGTAATTAATATGTCCCTTTTATTTCTGATTTTAATATTTTGAATTTTCCCTCTTTCTGCTTGTCTCAGTTTTCTTTTCTGTAAAATGGGCATAATAAAACCTGCCTTGTGGAGTTATTGACATGAGCAGTGGGTGCTTTTCAAACTCCAATGTCCACATGACTCCATGATCTTGTTAAAAAAAACAGATTCAGTAGGTTTTCCATTTCTGTCAAGTGCCCAGGCAATGTCAATACTACTGAACTAGGGACCACACTTGTTTCTTGGTATCCTGGCTCTCACTTCTCTCCAGAAAAGTGGTCATTAGGAGCATATTCTGTCACTTTAAGGATCCATTTTCCCAAGATGTTTAGTGAATTTCTCTTCAGGACTGTGGGAGAGGAAGACGGCCCCTTCCTCACTTGGCTCTGCTCTCTCTGACCTGTGTCATTTCCTCTCAGTGGACAGCTCTGTGAGATCCCTCCTGGCCTGCCTACCCCCAGGAGCCCCTGTGAGGGCACTGAGTGCCAGAATGGGGCCAACTGTGTGGACCAGGGCAGCAGGCCTGTGTGCCAGTGCCTCCCAGGCTTCGGCGGCCCCGAGTGTGAGAAGTTGCTCAGTGTCAACTTTGTGGATCGGGACACTTACCTGCAGTTCACTGACCTGCAGAACTGGCCTCGGGCCAACATCACACTGCAGGTGCGTGCCCAAAGGGCCTGGTCACAGAGAGGAGTCAGGGAGCAGGGGACCTTGGCCTTAGGTCAGAGCACAAAGATGCATTCCTGCCCAGGAGAACTTCAAGGACCCTGTGTTAGTCCAAACTCTTTGGATGTGGGTATCAGGATCTCAGCTTGAACTACTTTAAGCATCACTGGAAAGGTTATTGAGTCACAAAACCAGGGCAGGGGTGGAGGTGGTCTCATGAGCGACTGGATGCAGAAAACCAAACTTGCAAGGATCCTCTCCCTTATCTTCTGTCTCAGCTGCTCCTCAGCTTCTGCGTCCAGTGCTGCAGACGGGCGTTCTCCATGTGGCTGGAATGTGGCCAGAGTTAAGTCTGGGCCTATATCTTTAACTGCATGTCCCCGGGGTACCTTAAATTGCCCTTTGCATGTATTCAATTCCATCTCAGAACATCATTGTACTGAGGAAAAAAAAAAAAAAGCAAGCCCCACTTAACAGCGTTGATGAAATATATAGATATTTTGCTAAATATTTCTTGGCAAGGGAGAGGAGCGTGGAATATATTGCACATCACACGACAAAAAAATTTTAAACTCTTCTTTAGTCATCTTTCTTTTTCCCCAAAACTCCATTCCCTCTCACAAGTGCCATATCTTTCTCCCCTTTCCTGGGTCCTCTTCTCCTTTTTCCTCAGAACCCTTCAGCCTCTCAAACATGCCCATCCTGCTCTTCTGCCACATATCACCTCTCCAAAGTCCCATCCACTTACACTGTCCACACAGCAAGACAACAGCTAGCCTGTGCTCCACAAAACCGAGCTCTGCAAAGTCTGGGCCAGCTGTTGCCTCAGGCACATCCTGAGTTTATCCTGATATCCCCATAAGGTCTCACTACCAGAGATTTAAAGGGGCTCTTTCTTGCCACTCTAGTTAGTCTCGGGGAAGGCCTCTGATTGGCCTGGCTTTAGTCACATGCCCATTCCTGGACCAACCACTGAGTCCAAGGAGAAGGGGTAGTATGATTGGTCAGCCCAGGTCATGTGCCCACCTCCACAGACCAGGCAACCAGGGTCTTTACCAGAAGAAAGGGGGGAAGAAGGACAAGGCAGAAAAAGTGATCATGGCGCCTATGGCATTGTAGAGGGATCTCCCTCCCGCACGGTTCCAGCAACAGACACTACCTCCTGTGCGGCTCCTTCCAGCTTTGGATGGCTTTGGCTGTTAGAGCCTTCCTGAACTTGTCCTCTCTGAAGTTCCCACCTGAGGCCACAGAACAGGCCTACCTACACCCAGGAGATGGTGGTTCAGCCTAACATTTCTTCTCTAGGAAGATTGTCCATGGTCTCTTAGCTACTCCTCCTGGCATGTAGACCCCAGGCGTCAGCTGGCCCACCACCCACACCTGCCCAGCCATGGCCAGGATGGCTGTGGATGGATGGCATTTGAATTGGGGCTTCTGGCCTCTATCAGCACCACCTCGAGGAATGGCCCATGGGGAGGCTGGTCAGGGAGGGGAGGACAGCTTTGCACACAGCATCTCTCTTCCAGTCTTGGGTCCCCCACCTGCCCCACCTGCCTGTGCTGCTGCTGCATGGGGTGGGGTGGGAAAGGATGTGCCATTGCCCATCAGGTCTCCACGGCAGAGGACAATGGGATCCTGCTATACAACGGCGACAACGACCACATCGCAGTTGAGCTGTACCAGGGCCATGTGCGTGTCAGCTATGACCCAGGCAGCTACCCCAGCTCTGCCATCTATAGGTAGGGTTTCCTTGTGTCCATCAGCCACCCTTAGGGGACGGGGGACTGCTAGAATGCACTGTCCTGGGCCAAGAGCTGGTGGTTATCAGGAACAATAGAAACCTGGGCAGCCCGGGTGAAAAAGGCATTTGAACCATCTGGTTCAGCCCCAGCTTGGGTCTGAGGTTCTCTGAGGCCTGAGCAGTGGCCCCAACCTTTCCCATCCCACCACCATCTTAGAGGGGGTTCCTTAATGGGGAGGGGGGAGATTGATAAGATGGAGACCCCAGCTCCAAACTTCTTAGTTTTTCCCAGGGAGTCCCAAGAAGGGAAGTAGAGGGATCAAGTTATAGGCCTCTGAGCCCTATAGTCCCCTCATTTCGAGATTTGATCCCTTGGGAAGCAGCTGCTAGACTAATGGCCTTTCTGGGGAAGTGCCCAGGCAGGGATGGTCTAAACTGAAGCCCACTCCCTGGTCCGGGGGCACCCATCTTCTTCCAGTGCCGAGACGATCAATGATGGGCAGTTCCACACTGTCGAGCTGGTCGCCTTTGACCAGATGGTGAATCTCTCCATTGACGGTGGCAGTCCCATGACTATGGACAACTTTGGCAAACACTACACGCTCAACAGTGAGGTGCCCCTCTATGTGGGAGGTGAGGACCTGGTGCGGTGGAGGCTGCAGCTATCCCTCCTCAGGCCTCTCCATCAGGCTCTGACCTGAGGCTGGCCAGGAGAGATGGTGCAAGGGCACTGGGCTGTGGGGGGAATGCCAAGGGGATGGGTTCTGGCCCTGGTGAACTGCCAAGCTGCTGGTGGATTGTCCTCCCCTGCCCAGAGCCCAGGCCAGACTGATCAGAATGGGTGCCTGGGCTGTGCTCAAGGCCTAGCCTATGGGAGGGCCTGGGACTTTCCCAGCTGTCTTCCACGCTTTGGATACCTTTCCTCTTGGCTTTCCCAGTCTTGGGGCCCTCAGAGACCCAGAGCCACTGCCAGAGACTTAGGCACAGAGGCCCTGCATCAGCAGAGATCTCCCCGGCTCGCCTCACAGGCTCAATAGCCCTGCCCACTGCCTGCAAGCTCTTCTAGATCGAATGAAGCAGGCTTCCAGGTGCAGCGGGGCTGTCTCAGCACTGTGGGGGGCTTGTTGAGACGGTGGACAGATGTGAAGGTGCACCATGGGTTCTAATCCCAGCTCTGCTATTTGCTAGTGGTGCAACTTCAGGCGAGTCGCTGGTCATCTGTCAAATGGGGAGTAGCAAGTCCTACCGCAGAGGGTTGCTGTGAAGCAAGGACCACATGAGCAGTGGCAGAGTGCCATGTGACGAGTCCTAGGGCCCAGGCTCTTGGCTACAGCTGGGGCTTCTGGGAGGTAGAAGCTGGAGTCACAGAGGACAGGAAGGCACCCTGGGTGAGGGGAACCAGACTTCAGGAACAGGCACCCAGAGACCCACCCATCGTCTGCCCACTGCCATGCCTGGCACCCCAGCTCTGATCATGGAGGAAGCAGCTTTTCCATTTCTCTGGGAAAGGGTTCTGGGCCCTCCAAAGTGGCAAAGGACCTTGGCTCAGGGTTGCAGAGATAAAAGAACAGAGGCCGAGGGCAAGAGACAACACTGTGGAGCTGCCCAGTGGACCTCAGAGGTGGGTGCCTGGCCTGGCCCAAGCCTGACTCAGCCCAGGTCTGCTACCCACCCCCACCCCAGGGATGCCCGTGGACGTGAACTCGGCTGCCTTCCGCCTGTGGCAGATCCTCAATGGCACCAGCTTCCATGGCTGCATCCGCAACCTGTACATCAACAACGAGCTGCAGGACTTCACCAAGACGCAGATGAAGCCGGGCGTGGTGCCAGGCTGTGAGCCCTGCCGCAAGCTCTACTGCCTGCATGGCATCTGTCAGCCCAATGCCACCCCGGGCCCCATGTGCCACTGTGAGGCTGGCTGGGGGGGCTTGCACTGCGACCAGCCAGCTGACGGCCCCTGCCATGGCCACAAGTGAGCCCTCCCCTGCCCACCCACCCCTTCCCTGCAAGCTCTACCTCCCCATGATGAGGGCCGACTCACCAACTGCTATCTTTAAACCCCCAAATTGGAACGTGTGACCTAACACAGGGTTAATTATTTTTTTCTGGTTTTCAGTTTCTGTTAATAGCAAAAGGTCAGTAGGGACAAACATAGAATCACATTTTGCTCCCTTTGTTTAAATCTTGGAGACAGAATGAAATTTCATGAGGTAGCAGCTGGGAGGTGTGGGATGCCTTTGGGTGGGCCTTGGATTGGTCTCACAGTGCCCTTTCTCTGTCCCCTGCAGGTGTGTCCATGGGAAATGTGTGCCCCTCGATGCTCTTTCCTACAGCTGCCAGTGCCAGGATGGGTACTCCGGGGCCCTGTGCAACCAGGCTGGGGCACCGGCAGACCCCTGTGGAGGCCTGCAGTGCCTGCACGGCCACTGCCAGGCCTTTGTGCCCCTCGATGCTCTTTCCTACAGCTGCCAGTGCCAGGATGGGTACTCCGGGGCCCTGTGCAACCATGCTGGGGCACCGGCAGACCCCTGTGGAGGCCTGCAGTGCCTGCACGGCCACTGCCAGGCCTTGGCCACCAAGGGGGCACACTGTGTGTGTGACCCTGGCTTTTCGGGAGAGCTTTGTGAGCAAGGTCAGGGCACCCCCTCCTGACGTGCCCTCTCCAGGGTCCCCTGCACCCCATGATTTGTTTTAGCAACTTGACTTTTTCCTTTTCACAACCTCAGCAACCCTCCTGTCTTTCCCTCCCCTCCTCCTGCACCTCGGGCTTTTGGTGTCCCCCTCCGCAACGTCTGGGCACTGAGCCTCCCTTTCTGCATCTCTCCCTGGCCCCACTTGCCCTGCAGGTCTGTGCCCTCTCTGGCTGGGGTCTCTCCTTACAGAAGAGACCACCCGAGGTAACAGCTCCTGGCCAGACCTCCACAGCTTGGCCTCATCACCTCGGGATGTAGAAGCAGCAGGAAGTCTGGGGTTGGGGCCTACTCCCAGGCCCTCCCTGGCCTGCTTGATCACGATGTTTCTGCTGGAATCCAGACTGCTGAGGCCAGGCAGGGGGAAGCTGGAGAAATCCAGAATCAGGCACCTATAGAGTCCTCTAGGCCACACACCCCCAGCAGGAGCTCCAGGCCTCGGCCTCTTCTGGCACACCTCTAGCCCAGTCTGTTCCCGAGGGCCCTGGCAGCTCCCCACCGACCCTCCCGCAGGCCCCAGGAGCAAGCGGTGTGCATGTGCATGTCGGCTGGGAGGTGGGAGGATGCAGGGCACAGGGCCAGGAGGACCGTCTGCTGAAGCTGCCCTCCTCCTCCTCCTCCTGCCTCCCCTGGGGCAGCACTGGCCTGTGGATGTGCCCTGAGGCCTTCTCTTGGTGTCTGTCCCATCCAGAGTCCGAGTGCCGGGGGGACCCTGTCCGGGACTTTCACCAGGTCCAGAGGGGCTATGCCATCTGCCAGACCACGCGCCCGCTGTCGTGGGTGGAGTGCCGGGGCTCGTGCCCGGCCCAGGGCTGCTGCCAGGGCCTTCGGCTGAAGCGGAGGAAGTTGACCTTTGAGTGCAGCGATGGGACCTCTTTTGCCGAGGAGGTGGAGAAGCCCACCAAGTGTGGCTGTGCCCTCTGCGTGTAGCACCGGATGTAGACCGGGCAGGGGTGAGGGCGGGCGAGGGGGCATGCTGGGCCGCAGTGGGGACAATGGCAGCAGTCAGGCTGGGGGTGCGGGCCATCGCCGGGGTGGGCAGGGTGGCTCCAGAGTAGCCTTTTGAAAGCAAATTGCGCTGCAGTTGGGGGCAGAGGGGGTGGGCAAGGCCTGAGCTGCAGACCACCGGCTCCTGAAGTGCCTTGCACAAATAGGCGCTTAATAAATATTTGTTGAATGAATGTGTGCGTGAGGTCAGGCCAAGAAGTGCAGAATGGTGACACCCCTCCTTGCCTCCTACCTGGGCCCTTAAAGAAGAGGACGGACCCCCTCCCAAACCAGCCCTTCCCTCTGGCTGGTGGCCCAGGCTGGCCTGAAGCTGGGTCCCTGGCCCCAGAAGCCCCTTGCCCCTCTGAGGATAACCTTGAAGTCCTCTGGGCCTCTCAGGCAGCCAGCCTGGCCCATGTGCGCTGCAGCATCTGCTGGCAGGAGGCCGGCTGCGGGGAAGGGCCTCCTCCTGCTGGCCAGGAAGGGACTGACCCTTGCCCCTGGGCTGACTGGCAGCACTGCAGCACTGCTTGGGAATGAGACTCGGGAGAGGTGGTTCTTAGGACTAGGCTTCTGGATCCTGAAGTTATAAGATGGCCACCACAGCTTCAAGGAAAGGGCTCATGTGGAGGAAAGGGCTCCTGGAGCTGCTTGGGGTGGAAGACCCCACCAAAGAGGGCAGGGGTCCTTGACTCCAGCTGAATAAACACCACCAGTCTCCAGACACTAGCCACAGAAGGGGCATTCGTCCTGGGCTTCCAGTGCCAGCCAGCTACAAGCTGTCGGCGAGCCACTGGCAGAGGTACAGGGTGTGGGGGGCCTGGGCCAGCCAGGGAGGGGTCTCCTCCTGTGGAGGCTGGGTTCAGAGCCTCTTGTACTGCAGGCCAGTAGTGAGCAGTGGAAGGGACAATGGTTGAGCATCAGGAAACCTCCGCTGGCTCTATCACGCTGGACAAACTTCTGCCCCCAGGCCTTCGGTTCCTCAGCTATAAACAGGGACATAGGGTTACTAAAGGCACTGTGGTCTCAGAAGGGAGTCCCGAGGAGTCAGCAGACCCTTGTTCACTGATCACATCAACAAGTATTTCCATGCCTGGCCTGGGACTGGGTGCTGTGGGCATTCTGCCCTAACGGACAGGTGTGAACTCACCTGGAGCATGGCAGGAGTCGCCAGATTGCCTGGGGAGAGTGTGAGCTGTAGGGCTCCGGCCACGATGCAGGCCCAGGCTTGGGCTGCCACTGTAGGTGTTGCAGTGAAGGATTCAGTGTTGGAAGAGCCACATGGTCATCTGACTACCAAGGCTTCTCTTCCATGCAGAGTGAAAATGTACAAAGATGATTTTTGAGCCCAAATAGTGAGTTGGCCGAAGGAAGGAAAGGCCACACTCTCCTTTCCCAGATGTTTCCCCAAGAGAGTGTACCCCTGGGGGAGTCTTGGGGCAAAGGGGGTGAGCATGTCCCTTTCCTGGTTTGGGAGTGTGTTGGGGTGCAGGTGCGGTGGCCTTGTGCTCTGCCCCCCCACCCATGTGGTGCTGATTCTAGAGGGCTGAGCCTCCTGAGGCTGTGGGGCCCTGGCATATTCCATTATACCAGGACTCAGGCCAGCAAGTTTAAGCCCTGGGACCCCTGTGTTGAGAAGAGGGTCCTGCCCTGCCCAACTGGGGTAGTGTCATCATGGCTTCAGCTGCCTTTCACCAGGGGGCCGGGCCCTATTTTCGTGTAACTCTGACCAAGGCGCGGGTGCACCCCCCCACCAAAGTGGATAGCAGCTCCCGGGGCGGTGCAGCATCCCTCTTCTGCTTGGAGTTTCCTGGCCACTGTGGGACCCTGAGCAGCTGCACCAGGCTGGATAGGGCAGAAAAGCTCAAGTGCAGTCAGCTTGCCCCTTCCCTGGGAGAAAGGTGTTCTGAGGCTTACCAACCCTGAGAAAGGTAGCTTCCCTGGTTACCACCATTCCCTGCTGCCCTGGAGAAGACAATTCTTGGGCATGATGGGCACCGACTGGCAGGAGGCTTCTTCATGCTACTCTGCAGAGTGGAAAGGGCACTGGAGCCAGGTGATGCCCATACCCTCTCACCCAGTGCCACAGGGATGGGAGGTGAGAGGCTGGTGAGTCTGTCCCAGGGAGCACAATGGGTGTTTAAGGCTGCCTCCTCCCTCCAGCCCCTCTACGACACCCAGTGTCCTGGCACAGCAGCACGGAGCCTCAGTTGAGTCGGAGGATTAGGATATACCACAAGGGTGAGGGCAACAAGGGGCCTAAAGAATTGTCTGCCCCAGGATCGACTTTTCCCCCAACTTAGCCACCAATCTGCAAGTTGCTGAGGACCCGAGTCAGCACTCACCTTGCCTGTTCCTGTGTGGGCTCACGAAGTCCTGGAAGAAGGCTACTGCAAGACCAGCCCCCTGAGAAATCATCTCCACATCTTGCCCACTTTGGTAAAGATCTTCAGTTCGCTCCGCATTTGAAACATGCACTGAAGAGACACAGCAGGAGAGTCCTGAGAGAGTGCCCGCCACTGACAATAGTGGCCAGGGCTCCCCGTGAAGGTGACAGGAAACGGAAAAGGCCAGTCTTGTCTCTTCTTTGCCTGCTGTTAGCCTAACCACGAAAGTATCTCTTTATACAGAATACTTACAGATTCTAATATATATTTGTATTTCATTTTGTTATAGTATTTTTATATGTTAAAGTCAACATCCGGTGTCCTGTTTTGATTTTCAGATGCTATGTGCTCGTGAGATTTTGTTTGGGGGTTTCTGTAGTCTTGTTTGGATCGACTCCTTTGAAGAGACTTGTTTAGAACAGGCCCGTGAGGGAGCCACCCCTGCCCTTTCCCTAGAAGTATTGCTTTAGAATATGTTGATATTGTCTGTTGTCTTCCATGTGAACATGACGTTGATTCACTCAGATTCTGCCTTGTTGGTCTCCTTTTCTCCGCCGAGGGTGAGCCTGGTGCTGCTGGCATTCGCCCTCCCAGGGCACAGGGCTCCTAGGCTGACCACACCGACCACAATGTGGGATGGCTCCAAGAGGCAGCACATGTAGGACATCTGTCCTGTGACTCTCTGGTCTTCCTGAGGGGGCAAAGGAGGTCCGTTCCTCCTGAGGAAGGGGTGGTCTGGGGTCAGCTGGGGCACAGCTCCCTGGGGATCTGTCAGTGTGGGGCAGAGCTGGGCACAGTGCACACGGAGGTCTAGGGAGGCTGCTCATCCTCATTCCCTTCAAGTGTCTGCTGTCATGCTGACATTTTGTAAGTACAGAGCCACGCGGTATCTCAGCAGGCTCTGAGGGTTTCAGAGCATCAGGGCAACAGGTTAGAAAGCTGGGTGCCTTCTCAGACGTCCTGTAAGGTTAACCCGCCTGTCCCTAGGACAGTGGTTTTTAGAGATCAGTGGAGAAAGGAGGCAAACACACTTCTATAGTGGCTCTAGCACCATTTCAGACTAGAAAGTTGCACTCAAGAGTTTTGTAAGATGTAGGATCTGAGTGTCTGAGTGAGGCCAGACCTGGCAGACAGGCTGGGCAAGGTCCCTGATACTAAAGGTACCTGACTGGCCCTCCTCCGATGCCAGGAACATGGACTGATTTCCCACTGTAAAACTGGACTGTGGCGGGCCGGCCCGTGGCTCACTCGGGAGTGTGTGGTGCTGATAACACCAAGGCCACGGGTTCGGATCCCATATAGGGATGGCCGGTTAGCTCACTTGGGAGAGCGTGGTGCTGACAACACCAAGTCAAGGGTTAAGATCCCCTTACCGGTCATCTTTAAAAATAAATAAATAAATAAATAAATAAATAAATAAATAAATAAATAAATAAAACAAAACTGGACTGTGGCAATGGTCACACAAGCCACACCTTCACAGCATATGGATCACCTTGAAAGTGGGCAGTGATGGTAACTTTGGTGACTTAAAAACAATGAGATTTTGTAGGAACACGGTCCAGGAAAGAAAATGGGTTCAAACAGGGTTGCAAGCTCAAGTGTCTGGAGTGGCCAGCAGGTTACCTCTGTCAGTCAAGTGGGCACGTGCCCTCCCGACCCATCATTTGTATTGCCACTTTTGATAAAACAGCAGGCACAGAGACCTATTTCCCTACTGTAAAGTGACAAATGACAACTGATAGTGGCTGTGGTGACCTCAAGGGCACACTTTCCGATCTGAGTGCCAGCTGATTTTTAACCATGAGCTAATTTTGACATATACTCATCTTTTTTTTTTTTTTTGAGAAGCCAGAAATCTCAATCTTTGCATTAAAAAGCTCATAGTTTTAAAATATTTTAACACTGGGCGAAAGAAAACACATTTGTGGCCACCAGAATGCAATCTCTGCATAATAAATCTCACTGTTGAAATCCCCAGCCAAGGGACTGGGCACAGCAGGGTTTGGTTGGGAGGGTGGAGGCAGTAGAAGGAACGCCCAGACTTCCAACGTTGCCAAGTTTTCCTGAGGTTGGTGAGATTCTGTCCTGATCAGCCCTATACCCAAAGCCCTGAGTTAATTTTCCAGATGTTCCCTCACCCCAAGACAGCCAGTCTGTGCCTCCTGGACCAATATTCTAATTATTCTACTACAGGGTGAATATTAGAGGGGAAAAAGGAGTCTATCTTAACAATGAAAATGCCTACTCTGAATCAAAGCAATTTTCCAAATTCAATTTAAGAAGGGGTGGCCTGACAGCTGCTGTTATTTTCACTGGGTGTAGTTCTGCATGTCGATGGCCACTGTCAGATGAGCTGGTTAATGAGATCATAGCTCATTCTGCAAGAATTACTGCCCACTGGTCCTTAAATAACCCATTTCAAGCAGAATTGAAAGAATATAATGGAATTGGTCATGAGGCTAGCAAATGGAAGGGCTCTTCTTGCCGTACACCAACAGGGAGTACTCTAGAGAGCTGGGGCAGCCCTGGCCTGGTGGCCATGCACATTTACCAGTGGCTTGCCTGAGGTCAGGAGCTTAAATCCATTCCTCTTTCCATCTCAGGATGAAACCCTGGCACTTTTCCAACCCTACCATGGGAATCCCAAGGATTCATTGTGGTGGTGTTTTCTCATAACTCACAAAATGATTTATGACTCAGATTAGCAAACAACTGTTTCTGTAAGCCCCAACATGGTGGTTGAGACAGAAGTATTGTTTTTTGGTTCCTTCTGGTAACTAATCAACTCTGCCGCAGACTATGAGTTGAATGCCCGGCTTCATTACATTCTGTACCTTCTCCAGTGACTACACAAACACACTTTAATATCAAAGAAGTTTAATACGCTGCAATAAAATAAGCGCCTTGAAAAAGCTCATGGAATAGATGTCAATGTTAGAGAAATCCCTCCCACACATTCTCTAGCTTCCATACCCCATCCCTCAAAACCAAACAAGAAAATTCTGAAACAACACAGGAAATACTTCCAAACTTGGATTTCAGCAAGGGCCCCTTTACCAATAACAAGAACACAGTTTCCTACATGGCCTAATGGGAAAGTAAACGCAGAAGCACAAAAAGTCTACAAGATTTCAATATTTAAGAGACATGGTACATATTCAAAGTTAAAATAACTTCAACTTTTATAGCTATACATATTGTTTTAAAGCAACTTAATATATTTTTTCATTTCATATATACACTCTCAAAGGTTCTTCAGGTGAGGTATGTAAACATTGTCTAATGAAAAATTTTCAATGTTTCAAACCAACAAATTCACAGCATACATTGAATTTTCATCCATTAAAGACACAGTATTTTCCTACACTCACTAACATAGTGGAAATCCAGGCCCAAGAGATATACACTGACCTTCCAGGTTACCATTTGCAGAATTCCTCATTTAATTGCTTTTGGAAAGATCACCTTCACACAGGCCAGGAGCACACGCCTGGTACCAGGAAGGGGCTAGGCCTTCTGGAGGCCCTGTCCTTGGGCATCTGGATCACTGGCTAAGACTCACAAGACAGCAAAAAGGAGCACATCTGAACAACTACGAGATTGACCTCGGCAATGACAACACTGGGAGGAACCAGAAAGACCTTTAAAGGAACGGTAGAGATTCATTTTAGAGCTCCCTGAATCCACAGCCGGATCAGCAGCCCCTGCCCTAAACTCATTCTGAAGGGTCATGGCCTAAAAATAAAAATCCAACATGGCACCTGAGCTTCAGTTAAATTGCATGGGCCTCCTATGACGCCCTGGCCCCTCAAAGGCATTAACTCCAGCCTAAATTAGGACCCTGGGCTGTGCTTTTCATACAGGTTAGGGTTGAATTTCTTAATATCATAATGCATATGGGAAAATAATGCCATGAGTTCATAAAGATGACCAATGCTTGTGCACAGGCATTGGCCAATGACCTTGGAGGAGCTCAATTTTGAAAACTACTTGTTCCCTGAGGGTAAACAGCAGGCTTCTATTGAGATTAAGTGAGGCTAATATGGGGACTTTCATTACAAGGTAATAAGACTTGGCGAGCCTCAGGCCAGAATTCTATTTTACCCCCACATAATCTACAATGCCCCTTCCCCCCATCCCACCCCCAAAGTAGTCACCTCCCCAATGACACAATATAGGTCAATTTCTTTCCTCTTGCTTGTTTTCAGGCTCAGCAACGGAAAGTTTTATTCTAATGCACCCACTTCAATCTAAAAAAGCACTAGTGAAAAATTCCAAACACCATCATAAATACAAAAGAGAAGACATATTCCAAAAGCCTAAAAAACTACATTAATTCTATTAATGGTTATCTGGGTGTGGGGTATTTATTTTTCACAAAGTTTAGGACGGTCACAAGGAGAGGCTGCTAAACAGCTTTAGAAACCTGTTGAACTGGACACGCTAGGAGAAATGGAGGAATGACTGCCTTCGTTATACTGACCTAAATGGTTTAACTCCAGACACAAAGGGGCCTTTAGACATCTCAAGCCCAGGCACAGAGGAGGTTTATAGGAAATGGGCTAGCTTTTAAAGGTAGGTAAGATATGGCTAAAGGACATTTAATTGGCCACTTACATTTCTAATGTAAAAAGTTCTTACATTTACTCTATGGCCAAATGAGCTTTGCCTCAACTAGATTCTGGAAACCCCCAAATTCATTAAAAAATAGCTAATTTTTCAATGAATATGCCCAATTTTGATGTGTCTGGTGCTGGCAGATTTCTCATCCATTGTGAGTTTTATGATGTGAAGGAGCGTGCAGACAAACAGACGCAAAAATTCAAGTACAGCGACCCCTCCAGCAAAGGCAAGAGGTCTCAGCAAGAGCTGTTCTACCCTCACCCTATCCTCTGAGACAGGAGCCAATGTGGACCCCAGAATAAATGTTATTACCTAGGATCTTATTGCTTTGGGGCAACACATCAGAAAGAACACCTGGAAATCTGCTCTGCAGATCTGGGTACTGACCACTCATCAGTTTATCACACATCTGTATATATATTATATATAACACAACCAGATGAGAAAAAGGGGCAGTTAAAGCTTGCAGCTGATGTAACAATGCAGATCAGATGCCCCAAACAGCTCTCAACCTGCTGGTTTTTGTTCTTTCTCCATGTGTGAACTGTGTTATGAAAGTCCACTGCTCAAAATATATTCTTCTACCATACTACAATGCAAACCAACATCACTTGGAACATGAATCTGTATACAGCACATGTAATAAATATTTTTAGAAAACTATTTACAACATTACTTCTTGTGAACATTTAGATGAAAGCAAAGTTTATTTCTTCCTGCAAAGGTTAAAAAAGTTTTGACTGTCTAGTTCAGTGCTAAATTCCCTGGCACCTGCACCTAGTTACCCATTCACATTTCATCTTAAATTGGATTTTCTTACAAATAGTATCTTAGAAAAACATTCTCCAGCATTACTGTTCAAGTGTCCTCCTCATTTGTTCAGAAAAGACAAAGGGAGGC